GGAAGGTTCACATAAGCCCTTTCTATCTACTGGAGGACACACTCCAGCCACAAAACATGATAAATTTCAGCAAGGGATAGCAATGATGCTAAACACATGAAAGTGCAAATCTAAAAAGAGAGGTGGGGATTGTGGTAGCCAGAATCCTCAATGGCCCCAAAAACTCCTGGTAGGTAATATTCACAACATTGTGTGCTTGCCTCCAGTATTGAACAGGGCTAATTTGTGTACCAATAAGATATCGTGGACATGATGGAATGTGAGGATAGATCATAAAAGACATGTGGTTTCACCTTCTGTACTCTCCCTGCTCTGAAGAAAGCCATATGACATGCTAGGAGAACACTCAGAAACCTTATGGAAAAGTCTACATGGGGAGGAACTAAGGGCTACTGCCAACGGTGATGTGATAAACTCATCCTGGAAGGTGACCCTATAGCCCCAGATATGCCTTTCAGGCAACTGAGATCCTAGCAAAGTGTTTGACTGCAACTGCAGGGGACCTTGAGTGAGAACCTCCTGCTAAGCCACTCCTTTTGAACTAGGGCCTCTAGCAGGTGCTCTGTCACTTGAACCATCCTCCAACCCTTTTGCTTTAATATAGAGTCTCCCTTCTAGCTCAGGACTGGCCTCAGACTGGAGATCCTAAGTAGCTGCAATTACAGATGTGTACCCCCAGTACCTGAATTTTTGATCAAAACAACTATAAGAAAACAAATACTGACTGCTGTTTTAAGGTAGTATGTTTTATATCAGCACATAACTAATTTAGGAATTAAGCATAGAGAATGGAAAACAGAATAGCTCATTCATGTTTTTTTAAAGCTGAAGTAAATCAAGCATAGAAATTTAGAAATATTTAAGAATATGAATATAAAGTCAGTAAAATATCAACTATATTTTAATACACAAGCACAAAGTTGGAATTTAACAATTAGATGTAAAGTGATGGCATGTACAATATCAGCCAAAAATTCAAACACCTATAAATACACTGAATAAAATGTGTACAAGGCCACTTCTATACTAACGGTTACAAACAAAACTGAGAAGTTAAAGACTTAACCAACTGAAAAATTTGTCATATTCATGGGATGAAATGCTGATTATTTTCAATATGTCAGATTCTCCTCCCCAATATGGTGGTATAGGAGGGCTGGGCTATACAAATCATAATCAAAATTATATTCAAACGACTACAGCAATGTCTGATGAGGTGGATTTCAAAGAAAAGAAATTATCAAGGAAGAAAAGATGGTCTTTTCAATACGTGGTACTAGGCCAAATGAGTAATAGAGAAGATGAATCATTTTCTCCCCCAACACATAAAAATCAATTCCAGATTTGTACATCTAAATGTGAAATATAATCAGTCTACAAGAAAATAAACAATACCTTCATATCTTTTGGACAGGCAATGATTTCTTGAACAACATACAAGGAAATACAAATCTTAAAGGGAAAAATACTAAATCATATTTTAAAAAGCAATCTCTTGTTCAGAAGAGAACATGAAAATGAAAAACCATGGATTAGGAGGTATCTGAAATACACAAATAGCTGACAAAGGATCTGCAATCAGAACACATAAAGAACTTCTAAGAACCAAGAATAAAAACACAGATATACTCCACAAAAACAAAACCAAAAAGTTAAGCTCAGGACTTTAACTAGCATTTCTCAAAGGAAGACATCCAAATGCTCAAACACAGTAAAACAAAGGCTCTCAACATCATTAGTCATCGATCAGAAAAATCACAATGCCACAGCACTTCATATCCACCAGTCTGACGATGTCATGTGCTAAGCAGAACACATAGCAATTGGGACTTGCATAAAAAGGCTGATGGAACACTAATTGCTTCAGTTATTTGGAAAACTATCTGCTTCTGCAGATTCAAATAATCTGACTCACCAATTCCCCTCCTAACCATACACCTAACAGAAACACACACACATCAACACAAAATGTGTGTGCCAGAATGCTCATAGCTACCAGGGGCCTATAATCCTAGTTCCTTGGGAGGTTGAGATCAGGAGGATCATGGTTAGAGGCCAACCCAGGCAAATAGCTCCCTAGACTCCAGTTCCAAAACTAACCAAGGCAAAATGGACTGGAGAGATGACTCAAGAATTAAGAATGCCTGCTTTGCAAGTGCAAAGTCCTGAGTTCAAACTCCAATTCCACCAAAAAGAAAAAGAAAGAGCGCTCCTAGCATCATTTGTGAGAACCCAAACTTGGCAACAATCCAAATGCCTATCAACAGTAAAACAGACAAAATGCAATCAGCATATTCATGCACTGGAATACTATTTAGCAATGGAACAAATGAACTGTTTCTACTCACAATATGGATGAATATCACAAATGTGATTTTGAACAAAAGAAGCCAACAGAAAAGGATATTCATTGCATGATCCCACTTTTATATAAATTCAAAGAGACAAAAGAGATGTTCAGTGGTTATTTTGGAGGAGCTACTGATTGAACAGAAGTTCAAAAGGGTGCAGGTACTTTTTTTAAAATTTGAGTACTTATAAAGGTGTTCCCCTTGTGGTAATTCATTTAAGATGTACAGTTCTAATTGTTTTGGTGTTTGTATGATACATATACTTGTATTGACATTCACCTGATAAACTTCAGTAAAAATTTTAATTACGGAGACTATGAGGCAAAAACAAAACAAAACAATTATAAGCAGGGACCATGACCTAGAGCATCCTGAAACTAGGGCCTACAGTAAACATGTAACAACTGAATACCTACCTATCAACTAACAAAGCTGCAACTTTCCTGAGTGAGGAGCAGCTCAGTGAAACAGCACTTGCTTAACATGAGGCAAGGCCTGCGTTCAATTCCCAGCAATGGAAAAGAAAAAATGCAACATTCATAAGGTTATGTAAGAAACAAAATCCCGTCAATCCTGGAGCATTTCAATAACACCTCTCCCAAGCCAACATAAATCTTAGTTCCAAAGCAAGTAAGTAACTACAGACTCAGACTGATCATATATCAGATCACAAAAAATGATCAAATGCCAAAGGTTAAAAAAAAAAAAAAGATCTTGATACAGGAAAATTACATTGCCTGTGTCCTTTATCTAAAGTCCCCAACATTTATCAGTAGAGACTGAGCTCCCCTTAAGTCTCAGGAATCAAGACTCCTCCACAGCACTGAGGCTAAGACACTGTACCAATGTATTTTTTCAACAGTTACTGTGAACAAATTTCCACACGTGGTGGCTTACAATAATACAGATTTATTCTCTTACAGATCTGGAAAAGTCTGAGATGGATTTCAGTAGGCAAAAATCAAGGTGTCTCAGGCAGGGCTGCATTCATTTCTGAAGGATGTAGTGGAGAATTTATGTTTTCCAGCTTCTAGAGGCCACCAACATTCCTTAGCTCACAGCCAAGAGTTGTATCTCTGTGATGACCATTCTGTGGTCACATCCCCAACTCTACACTCAGCCAGAAAAGGCTCCCTGACTTTAAGGGACCTGCAATTATTATATTGGGCCCAATTAGGTAATTTTAAATAATCTCTCCATTTCAAGTTTCTTAACTGCAAAGTTAAGTTTCTTAAATTCTGCAGAGTCCCTTTTGCAATATAAGGCACTATATTCACAGATTAAAGGGATTAGGAAGAAGACATCTTTGCACTGCCATAATTCTGCCTTTCTCAATCACCCTGAAGGATTCTATCCTAACCTTCCTTTTCCTCTTGAGGGAACCAACCTCAGAACCCCAACACTAACTCTCCATCACTGTACTGAATCCAACCAGAATACAACACCTGTATTCATGTTTGTTATAATATGCCCCAAACTTTCTAGTAACTCTCTTTCAGACACTGTACTCCCCACAGACACACTTATCTACTTTTCTTACCTTTCCCCAGTTCTTGACACTGTTCCAGTATGTCTTCCGGAACATATAATTCATTAACAACCAATTCATTTTTTATCTTCAACATTCCTCTCATCTGCTAAGTCTAACAGAAACCTGGCTCTACCCAGAGTACTCTGAAGCACTCCCTGGTACAGTCTCTTACCATGGGGCAGGTGGCTCACTTGCTTTATTAAGTACTCTTGGACCTTTCTTCAAGCCAACTTCACAAAATCTCTAGCTTTGAGTTTCATGCCATGAGGTTATGTATAACTGGCCACACTTCAATGCTGCTGACATACACCAAATACAGTATTTCCCCCCCGTCATTTGAATGGGGTACAGACTCTTCAGAGAAATAAATTTCCTGACAATCAGCCAAGGTCACCTAGCCACTCTCACGTACTTCAGGCATCGTAGAATAAACTTGCTTCATTGTAATACTAAAAACAGCTTGCCCAGAAGAGTCCCTGTCTGCCATCTTAACCTTTTTGAACATGGGCTCTGTGGCTCTGAGCTGAGCATGCCCAAAAAAGTATCCACCATCTTTCCTTCTTGAACTAGGACCTTAAAGTAACGCTCAGAACGGACACCTTAAACTGAGCATGCTCCGGAAAGCACTAGCCCCAAAGTGCCTAGGCTCCCAGACTAGACACCCCATGCTTCCTTCTAACCCAGCAGTACTATGGATACAACCCTAGTACTTTCCTCGTCACTTGTAGGTAATAAATCTTTCTCCTTTTTCTCGACTGGTTGTGCTTACACCCTCAGTTACAGAAACGATTATGTTCCTAAACACGCTGCTCGGAATTCTGTGGCCCCACGGCTGCTGCGGCTACACAGTAATGCTGTCATAATCATGTACATACAGTCACACTGAAATTGTCCATTACGGCCCGACACAGCTCCTGTCACCATCAGGCTGGCGAACACGCGCGTGCGCGTCCATCTCTAGGTGCCGAGTCTCGATCACCCGCATATCAATTTCACGCTCGGTTCCACAGTGATCGCATGTCTGCACACACGTCCTAAGCCTCCACATCCTCATCCCGCGCCCTCTGCTGAAGGCAAAGTCCCTCTCAGTCCACTCAACACCCGCAGACTATCCCTACCCCCAAGGTAGAACGTCCCGCGAAGACTCCAGGCGCGACCTGGCACGATCTCTCCTTCGTCCTCTCAAGGACCCAAGCGCCGACAGGAAGTTGCCCAGGGTACGCTGCACTCTGGGAAATGTAGTCCCGAGACTGAAAGCCCTTTAACGCCCCATTTCCGAACTGACTGAATTTCCAGACCGTAGCTTTGGACCCCGTCCCTTACCCACGAAAAGACCATAGCCGCGCACCGCTCACGTTTGTGCTCGAGACCTTCAGGTTGCTGGCCGCGTTTAGAACGGGCCCACTGAAATCCGTGCTGAGCTTCCAGTGCCAAAGGCCACCATGTCAACGCCAACTTTGAAATGGGGCTAGCCATGGGCGAAATGGCTCCTGGGAAATGTAGTCCAGACCTGGGAAACGCCTCAGAAGGGTGATGCAATTCTTTTCAGCCTGAGCTTGCAGTGCAGGCCACCAACACATGTCCTGTGGCTGGATGTTCCTGTAAAACAGCTAGGGCGAGTCTGTACTGTCTCTACCCGAGACATGAAAGGGAAACAGGGCCTGTCAATTCGGTGGCCAGCCCTACTAGGGGTCTCCTGCCCCAGAATTCACATAAACTCTTTTTAGGACCTGAGTGTTGTTTTCTTCAACTATCCTTAAAGAGTGTGTTTTAAATAATGGTGATGGTTACATTAGTATTGTTTTGTATTAGCCGTTATCATTCTCTTTGCTGAAGTAAATAACTGTGAGCTTTTTTTCATTTACTTCCTTTCTTATGTGTATATTTATTTAGATTTATGCCTAAACTCTCTAACAGAGGAGTCATTTTTTCCCCAGTATTTTCAGACTCTTCAGGTACTTAAAAGGTATTTCTTTCCTTAGATTGTTTTATTGTGAAATAGAAATTACTTGGATAAAAAGTGCATAAAATGGATTATTTCAGTACAACCACACAAAAGTACATTTCTGATAGATATCTCACAAAGAAATCGCACCAAGGTATTTTTTCTAGTTCTCTGCCCCCAGTCTGACCTTTAGGGTAGGTCAGTTTTAATCTACATGCAATCAAATCGCATGAAACGTCTGTCTTCTTTTAGTTATCAGGTTCCTAACTGCATTAACCCAAAACCCACTATGAAAAGCCTTGCAAAAGAATAGGTATGGCCATCAAAGCCTAAAAATTATTTTCTTCAGTTACTACTTTATTGGGGCACCTCAAAGCAACCCATGTGTACCCAAGGGTTGATGATTCCCTGGGAGGCGAACAGTGAAATGATACAAAGCAAAATCTACAGATAAAGGGCACAGGGAGAAAAACACATACACACAACTCCCAAGGGTCCTTTTCCAATGAAGCCACGTGGGACATTCAGTTCCACAGCAATGACTTGTAACACATGTGAGATGTTGCCAAACAGGAAAGTTTGTTAGATATTGCATATTTGGAGTTTTTATTGGAGGCCAGTGACATAGGGCACCCCACCTTGTACATACCAGAATTTCAGGAAAACAGTGTTTGGTATAAACCATATTGTTTGCAAAAGTAGTTTAAGTATAGTGACAAGTCAATACATTAGTGCTCTGAACCAGAGGTAAACTTTCCAACAACAAATTATACATTTCTTCCCTGATAGAAAGGGGACACAAAAAAGTCAAGACACAAAAGCAACGCAGCTAGACTCACGTAAGATTCAGATGTTGGAACCATCTAATAATGAACTTCAAATAACTATGATTAATATTTGAAAAGATCAAATACAGTTTTTCTCCACCGTGCATGATTTAGTTCTCCAGGAGACATTTAGCACTGTCTTGGAGAGTTTTGTTTGTCACAATTGGAGAGGTGCAATTGGTAGAGGCCAAGGATGCAACTCTATATACTGCACGCCAGGATTACTCTTTGTAACAAAGAACTGCCAGTAGTGTCAAGCTAAAGAACCCCTTGTTGATAAGAACTGGGTGTTAATAGAGAAGTGAAAGAGAGATACATTAACAGAACATAAGAAAGACACACCCAAATAGAGTCATTTGATTTTGAACAAAGATGTAAGATAATTGTATGAAGAAAGGATATTTTCAACAAATGATGTTGAAACAATGTGCAAAAAAACTTGTTTATACAAGAATTAGAAATGTGGGTATAAAATATAACTCTGAATCATTTAACAATAGAAAGATAGAAAATGTCATGTAATAAAAGATATACCTCTGTGTAAAACAGTGAGAGTCTTGAAAGACTTGTTAAATGAATAACTGAATGCATATGTAAGCTATGAAAATTAAGAGGAAAATATATCCTCTAGGACCGCTTTAATAAAAGAGGACACTGGGATAGTGTGTGGGAAACATATTCAGCCGTCCAAACTCAAAGAATGGATTCAGAGACATGTGGAGTACAGTGAAATCAAGACTTTAATGGCATTCTTACAAGATCTCATGCCTGGTGAGCAGAAACACCCAAAGTGGTTACAACAAGCATTTTATTCTCCAGGGTGCAAGTTCCTCATTGACTGAGTACTATGGAGTGTACATTCTTCCTGGAGACTGCCTAAATTTCCTATTGGATTATTTTTTAAATATGCCTCTCTTAGGATTGGTCAAATTTTAGAAGTGGGCTTTAGTGGTATCTGCCTCCCTTTGTGCCAGGAAGGTCTCCCTGTGATACATGCTTTCTGGCACACACATAGTTTTTACCCATTTCCTCGTTCTATTGTGATTTACCCCTCTCAGTTTAAATTCTCTTATCAGTTGGCCCTCCCCCAACATCCTCAAACTGATGCAAGCCAGGATTAAATACCTTTGCCTTGAAGATGGACCACAACTGACTTTATTTCTAACAATAGGGGTGTAGCTTAGTGGTAGAATACTTACCTAGCATGGGTAAGGCCCATCCCCTGCATAAGCTAAAAACAAATAAAAGATGGTATTGACAGAGGAAGAATCACAACTAAAAGATTCACATCTAAAGAGTAGGACCTATAAGAAAATCCCTCCACCCCACATCTCTGCTTTGTCAACCACTTGGACAGAACCTCCTTTACATTTCTTGTAGCCACCATTCTCTCTTTTTGTTCAAACTGAGTGACTTTATCCAGTTTGTGTTACTGGAAAGCCAGTCCCCTGGCCTCAGTGCCAATTTATAATGTACAAATAACAAGAGCAGGGTTATATCCTTTTGAAGAAAAGGATATAATTCATCAGGTGAAGAGGACAACAAGAAGAGTCAACCTCTCAAAGCTCTTTTGTCCCACTTCTGAGGGGAAATGTCCTCTTTTTAAAGGGCAGTTCAGGGGCTTAGCTTGACTACATGATGAAACATCTGACCTTGGTTCTCCAGGTGACTGGTGCCAATCTCTGTTACCAGATTGGATTGTTGTTTGTGTCCTTACGCAGTTGAAGATTGAAAGCACCGGACAAGCAGTTAAGAGTTAAGGCAAATTTATGCCACAGACCAGGAGTTAAGGGTAAAGCAAGCACAAAGTTTATTGAAAGGATTGGAAAGCACCCTGACGGGTGGGACTGAGTGAAAGAGCTAAGCCAAAGAATGGCTGAAGTCCATGAGATTAAATAGAGTTGACTTTAGGCACCCTTCCCACTCTGTTTTTGAAGCTGTAGCTATAACTGGCTGTTTGATTAACTTCTTGCTCAACTTGACCATCTGGCTGCCCCCCCATCCTTCTTAGGCTGGACATTCCCAGAGGGTCTTGTTAGTTCTTCTTGTCCTTGAAACCTGTCACATACATTTTAATATGACTATCCTCATTATTCTGGTGAGACCCCTTTCTTTGTTTATCTTGGGAAAGTATGCTATGTTACTCTCCTTTTAGGGGTCTATAAACCAGCCCTTTAGACGTCTGCCCTTAGGGATGTTTTATCTTGTTTTCCTTGCCTAGGAAGAGAAACTACTGTGCCTCAGCACCTGTGTGCTAAGCTGGTTTCTCAGTCTCCCTAAATGTTTTGCTTCTAAGTATGCCTCTCCTTTAACTAAAGAAAAGTTACTTCTGCCATCTGTCCCTTTACATCCCTAGAGATGTCATTTGATCCTAGGAACATTTCTGCCATTTTATTTCCCCTCCCAGTTGGCCCCTTACATCTCTGAAGCTGTATGTCTTGGTTGACAGGTTTACTTCTCTGGTGGTCAGAGAGAGATAAGAGTTAGAAAACTGCCTGGTTTAATTGAAGAGTAAAGGGAGTTAACTTTGGATGCTCCAGCTTGTATGTAGTCAAAGAAGGGAAATGTATCAGTTTTGTTACATGCCAGTGTGAAGTGTTGTGGGCAGGTATGAAGGTCCTTGTCTTCACAGGCCAGAGAACTGGCTCGTGAGGCAGCTGATTGACTTGTGAGCCAAAGCTGGTAAGGAAGTAGGATTTATTAGCGAGAAAGGAAAGGCTACAGTGAGAGCAGTGCAGTGGAGCCTGGAAACCGGTGGCTCGCTGCTCAGTGAAGGCTGGGGCTTTTATGGATGTTTTAACTCTGGGTTTGGATAAGGATTAGGTGGGCTCTTTTCACTGGCCATGGATTCGTGGGCTTTCTTAGATGAACTGATTTGTTTGCCCCTTATTGGGGGGGAGCAATCTTGAGAGCATTTTTCTCATCAGCCCTGTGGCAGATCTATGAGACCCTGTATCTCCTCTTCAGAGTGCAGGAATGCAGATTTCAGCTCCTTCTCAGGATGCAGGAATCACAGTGCTCTCCATGGAGGGATGGGATACTCATCTGCCCTTCAGGTCTCCAGACCCAACAGTTTGATTAACAAGTAGAGTTCATTGGCCAGTATGCAAGCTGGCTACACCAAAAGTTTTTCCCTTTTGCAGTCCCAATCGTATTTGGTCATATGTACCAATGTATGAAAGATGACATAAAACTTAAATTTTAATTCAAACACCATTTGACAGCAGTTCCTGAGCCTGGGTCTTTAAGGATGTTACCATATAAAGAAGAAAGTAAATAGACTTTCATATACAGTCATATACCAAAGGGCTTCAGGCAACCTGAAGCCTGCTTCTCAAAACTGAATCTATATGTGGCTCAGTGGTTGAGCACTAGCCCTAACCACAATCCTAACCCTAATCCATCCTCTCTATCAGACTGCTCATGCTGGTTTGGTCTCATATACTCAGTTTCCACCTTCAGTTGACTCCTCTAATTCCAAACAGGCTCCACTGCTGTGAGCTTCAACAGCATAGGCTAATCCCAGCGTGAAACCCAACTC